GATACTGTGAATAAATCATTATTCATAAGTTTCCGATTCTATAGCATTGAATTTTTACGCCAAATCTAATCAGTCACGAGAAAACTACCATTTGAATTAATTAAATTTGAAAGCTTAGATTTAAAAGATTTTGTATGAAATTACGATGTCTTCCTCGAATGTATACATATATATTCATTGAATCTACCCCCCAAAAACAGAGAAGAAAACATAATAAAAACGAACAGGTGTTATTTTAGGACATTAGTGAATTTTTATACTAAACACTGTAATTATTGGGAAAACAGTACAAAACCTTCTAGTCTTAAATATAAAAATTAGGCATGTTTCGTAAATAAAAATTAAAAAGAAGACAAATAAATTGCAATGCAATTATGAGGAAATATAAATATTAAACCTTTAAACGTTTAATGGTGAAAATCATCTAGGTACCAGGAAGTGATCCTTTTATTCCCGAAAAGCAAACGAAAACCAGTAAATGAAATAAAGGAGTATGGCTGTTTTCATGAATGTAATCTAAAACCTATAAGAAAGAATGCTTGTTTTCTCTCTTTTCATCCAGTCTATTAATAAGTATTGTATGTTACCAGTTTTTTGACAAACCACCCTTCACCGTCTCTCCATCCATCCACCAAACACACGGGTTGCTTCTTTTTTCATGCAACAATTTGTTCAAGATTTACATACGGGCACTTACATTATTTACACGTTTTACAAAGAACACAAGTTCTTATTATTATTACGTCGTGGTTATAATATATAAGCAAAGGTTGCACTCGAAATCGATTTTTCTGTTATACAGATATACCCCCACTTGCTTCCCTTTCAACAAAAGTCAATTGTTTAAAGTCATTTGGAAAATGTGATCTATTTATTTTTTACTTCATTATAAATTGATCGCTGTTTTTTTATGAATAGAACAGCTTTATATCACGAAAGCTGGCTATATAAATGTCATGGTTTTTAAGTAATATAAAAATTCAATTGATAAGGTAAACTTTATAAGTTAATTAATTTGACCGGAAAAAGTGGGAAGTTGAAAAAAATATTACATTTACGATACAGGAAACTTTCTGGGTTAATGAATTTGACCTGAGAAAGTGGGAAGTTGACAAAAAATAGATTATATATACGATACAGGTCAGCACATACTTACGATTCTCGGGATTTAAGGGTCGATCTTCGTTACTGATACATATTTATTTTCACCCGGTCTGTACCGTAAGTATTGAATATTTTTAAACTAATATATAGATATAGGAAGATGTATATATGTGTGTTTTATGCTCATTAATGAGGGTCTAGAAAGGGGTTCTTCGTGTCTTTATTCTTCAATTTTTAAGACAAATGTTTCCTCTTTTCTTTATCTTTTTGGCACATGATTCTTCTATTCTTTGTATATTTCAGGAACCCATTCTTCTTTATTTTTTATATTTTTGGCCTATTTTTCTCTATTCTTTATTTTTTGGCCCTTTAATCTGCACCTTTTGGCCATTATTCTCTATTATGTTAACCCCACCCAGACCCTCAATAACGAATTTCAGATCTTGTTGAATTTTTAACATTTATTTCATATTTTATTGATTAGTGATTGCATAATATCGGGTGGCAAATATTTCATGTATTTTCATATATTTATCTATTTATTTTATATGTTTTTGTTTTTTAATACTTATCAACTTTTATTTTGGACAAAATTAAAAATTTTGATGAAATCTTGCATTCATATCTTCAGTTTCTCTAATAATTGATGTGCCCTTTTACGGTCAGTAGCCTCCCAAGTAGAATATGTTAATACTTGATTATTCAGGTAATTCTGCAACATACCTTGTTGTGTCCAAATTAAGAGCATTCCTCCTAATAACTTTTGTTAGTATATAGGTAATCGAACACAACAAGTACCAGTTTAATATTCATGGTCGCCTCGAGTCCGGGGTGGGAATGGTGTCGCGGTTTCGGACTCGGTTAGGTTGACCCAAAGGCATTTAAGATCAATCAAATTGAATTATAACGAGAAAAGTATGCAGAAAAAGGTGTTAACCAAGAAAAAGATAAAAAGATGCATATGTACTCCATTTTTCTTTTTTTATTAGTTCACACATTCATATGGTTCATGTTAGAATAATTTTAAAAAGTTTGAACCTTTAGTGCTTTTGTTACCATTTCGGTGTATAAAGAGACCAGATCGTTCAACAAGACTACAATCTTGTTCTGCATATTAAGAAAAAAAAACTGTCCGAATAAAGCCATCAGTCACTATCTACTTATACCAATGCAAGTGGTTAGTTAGGCAGGCCTTGGTCAGACTGTTAACAAAACTTTCTGCAAATGGAAATCTATAGTTTAAAAACTTAAAACATAATGAGAAAGAAGGAACAATTTTTCAAATCATTTTGATCTGAAAGAAAATATGTCAAGTTTATTGGAATACCACATTCGTCGCAACTTCGGCCGATTCCGTACATCCACACGAGCTTCGCCGTTTGGTGATTGGCAATGAGACAACTATTCAAAAGAGTCCAAACGACATGGATGTAATGCAAACAACTAAAGGTCATCATTCGGTAACCTCAGATAGCTTCTACTCATTATGACATTCGGTTAATATGACATATTTAACTCCTATCTCCGGATAATAGACTTGCTTCAATTTAAAAGAACATTTAAATATCCGTTTATATTATATATTCCAAAATAACACACCAATTAATTTGGTGCCGTTAGAAATATATATGTCCTTGATTTTCTTTGAAAACATTTTAAATAAACATTTTATTTATAACATGGCTGTAAGGGAAATAAATCGTAAAATTCCTGACAAAAACAATATTATCAGTTTAAAAACTGTGTTTTTGTTGTAGTCTTCTTAATACCTAATTCAAACAAGACTTATTTTGGATAAAAATGTAATCTAAAGATGTTGTTATTTTATCAATATAAAGTCAACAAATCATACATTGGCTAGAGTTATAGGGGAGGGTTGAGATCTCACAAAACATGTTTAACCCCGCCGCATTTTTGCGCCTGTCCCAAGTCAGGAGCCTCTGGCCTTTGTTAGTTTTGTATGTTTTTTTAATTTTAGTTCCTTTATATGTTTTGGAGTTTAGTGTGACGTCCATTTTCACTGAACCAGTACACAATTTTATTTAGGGGCCAGCTGAGAACCACCTCCGGGTGCGGGATTTTCTCGCTGCGTTGAAGACCCATTGGTGGCCTTCGGCTGTTTTCTGCTCATTGGTCGGGTTGTTGTCTCTTTGACATATTCCCCATTTCCATTCTCAATTTTATAAATCATACGAAGACAAATTTGATTTTAGTTCTAAGTTCAGCTGCAGACATTTATAGATATTGAGGACAAGAATACAATAATAATGATATACTCTAATAGGTATTGTTTCTGGAAAGGGGAGGACTGGGGTGAAGACAATTTCTAACTTCCACTAGAAAAGGAGGGTATGTTAAAAAGGAATATGATTTCCCCCTGCAGAATGTCTCCCATGGAAATTTGAGAGCTGTTTCCACGATTCTTTTTCGCACAGAGAGCATAACTACGGATGAGGGGGTTGGCATGCTTTTGGGATATAGAATATAGGGGTAAAACAAGGTGTGATGTGGGATAAAGGGAGTAAAAAAGGTTGATTACGGAAGAAGGGATAAAAAGTTATGATGTGGGATAACGGAGGTTTAAAAGGTGTGATGTGTAATATAGGGGGTAAAATAAGTTGTGATGTGGGATAAAGGGAGTAAAAAAGGAGGTTGATTTAGGAAACAGGGGGTAAAAATTTATGATGTGGGATAACGGAGGTTTAAAAGGTGTGATGTGTAATATAGGGGGTAAAACAAGTTGTTATGTGGGATGTGGGGGTAAAAAAGGTGTGATTAATAAGTGGGGATGTGGGATATACGGGTAAAAAAGGTTGGGACCTGGGAAAAAAGAAGCAAAAAAAGGGAGAAGTCGGAAAAATTTACAAACAGAGCAGATTTTGGAATGAGCACACCCGTGTTACCCCATCACGGATTTGTTCTCGCAATTATTTAACAACCTAAAAGTTACATTACAATATGTTCGTATTATTTCATCCCATACACACAATAATGTTGGTACCGTTGGATATCTGTTATTGGAATCCGAGACTAATTGCTCTGACGTCTGACGGCCTTGGATATCCGCCACTGACGTTCTTTGAACATATGTTAAACATTGAAAAAAAATTTAATTGATGGCTGTAGGGGAATTTTTTTTTTCATAAAATCGGCAAGGAAAACAAATTAAGTGTTTAAATACTATGACTGTTTAGCTTTAATATATACAGTACTAGTACATAATTTAAAATGACTTACTTTAATACAAATAGATTAAATGATATTGTTATTCAACGATGTCGTAAGTATTATATAAACCCATAAAGGAACAGTTTAGCAAATTATAATTCGAGGTAACAGGTTGTTTATTTGCTTAAACGTCCAGCGGCAAAGTTTTTAATGTATTATCTGAGTGATAACAAATCAACAATATATAAAATAACTAGCAAAGTGTGTCAACTCGAATGAAGATGCTTTCACTTGAAAAAGAGGGTAGTTTTCATGAGATGAGAAATTATAGCCAAGGTACAGTAAATATAGCCTATGTAACATATTTTGGTGTAATTTTGCATACAACTCGGGCTCGTTAAACTATAAGTGAAAATAGAAAAAAATATTGCAGTATCACTTTTATTTTCTGAAATAATACTAAACTAAAATAGGTGAAAATTTGCATAGAAAGCACATACAATCGTCGAAAACGTTCTTATTTTTTTTCTTATATCCATCTCCCTCCATGGATTAAAGTCCAATTTGTTCAACCAATGATCAACCATCAATATTTGTGTATAATTTGGTTGCTGCGTTGTATCTACGATGTAATTGGCCTATAACCCCATAATTACTTGTATTCGTTTTCCACGCCTCTTTTATGTCAGTCAAATAATCTGTTCTGTATGCTATTTTCATATTCATAGTTCCACCAGAATTAGGGGAAGCTGATGACATGGCAACAGACGTAGAACTGCCGTCAACTGTAACATTTTCAAGGCTTGGCACAAATCTGACGAACGAAGCAGACATTCGGAGGAGAGATGAACAGAGACATCAAGATGTCGCATCAAGGACAGCCTCTCGGAACCTTTCTAGAGTATCGTTTAAACCACCTTCAAGACTACTGAAGAGAAACAAATCTCGAATAGCGCAGACACCTGCAGAATTAAATTTTGATGAAGAATATGAATGGGACAGTGACGAAGGTAATTCAGCTGCACCGCGTTTGAAAATACAATTGAAAATATCAACGCGTACTTTTCACCACTTCTGTCCACTGCATGAGGGTACCATGATATCACACACCATACAAGGAGAAAAGAGCACAATTTCTTGTCAAAAAAGTTAATATATTTATACAAGTCATATAAATGTTGCAGTCGTTTGCTGTACAGTTGCGTTAAATCAAATAGTTCAAATGGCAATTTTCATAATTCGAATATTACGAATTCCTTATTAAGGTGGTACCAAACACATTGACTAAAATTAATTTGGCTCGTTTAATTTTCATAAAATGTTGACAATATATTTACTTTGACCCGTGACAAAAAAAGAAAAATTTAAAAAAAACTTGAACCACACACTTTATCGGAAAAATTTCATTGGATATATAGCAGTTTGACAAACACTAATTTTGATCTTTGAGAGGCTTAATATTTCCTTAAAAATAGAACGTGATTAAAACGTTCAGCTTAATTTTACAGAGTTATCTCCCTAAAGTGTTATGTACCACCTTAAGGTGTTGAAGAATGCCAGATTTCATAGAAATAGAGCCAATTTTTCTTCTCATAATCTCCAAACGTCATGTAACATGCACCATTTCGCTAGTATGATATCAATGATATAATTTACATGGTTGTTTCCAGGTTATGTTATTTCAGCATAGTTGTGTTAATGTTGACCGGGTGTCCCTTTTAGTCCTCTTCATTGGTGTTAGGCTTTCAAATGTTTGATATATAATTTGTTTTCTCTGGCAATTGACCTACAATTATTATTCAGAAATCAAGTGCCAAGTATGTATCATGTGTTTGTTTGTCAAGAATAAGATAGATTTAAAAATATAAGTCGTGAATTAAAATCTATTGAAAATGAATGAAAAATTTTGTCCTGCATTTTTTTTAAGTTGTAATCTCTGTCCTGCCTTTTTATGTTTCACTATATTCGGTCCTGCCTTTTTTTTATTTGTTTATCCTGACTTTTTTACATAAATTGTCATCCTGCCTTTTCTTTTTGCCAAGTTGCTCATCCTGCCTTTTTTTTACTCAAAACTCCTGTCCTGCCATTTTTTCAAATTTCATCCATTTGGTTCTTCAAATAATTCAGCCTTGAGTATCATCGAAAGACATGTATTGTCGAAAAGCGCACCAGGCGCAGTAAAACTGGTACCGTTAATGTTATTCCTACTTTTATATCGACTGTTTCTCTTTTTGGCATTCAAATATTCGGTTTTGAGCGTTCCTGATGAAGGTAAATCTAGAAAAGCTTTTCGGACGCATGCCATTTATAAAGTTTTGTGTTGATTTCTCTCTCTCAGAAATGATACCAGTGAGATATAGCAGTGCCGCAGAGCAACACAAGAACACATACAAACAAAAATGTCGACAATTGGGAATTATACCATCAAGGAAAGTTATGAACCAATTTGGTACTGGATTGATAGATATCACCGACTTGAATCTTTCATCGAAAGAACTGAGAGCTTTATACATTGTGATGATAGTAAGTGCTTTTTAAGTATATCTTTTTTATTACATTAGATAGATTTATACAAGTCTTGGATACAATTCGAACAAGGACAATGGCATTCTATAATTATTATTTGTGTGTTTTGTTTTTATTTGTTTTTAATTATTTCTTATTGGTAATGCATTTACAAAAAAAAAACGGAAGCAATAGGAATTTGTTAAAAAAAAAGTAATAATGTTACACGAAATAATAACTTTCTGTTCATTGTTTGTTTTACCCAAACAGATGTGTACAAGATACTGAACAGTCATGTACCGGCGTTTTATAGTCGGAATCTAAAAAAATTCAATACAGAAAAAATTAAAGATTAACTTTTTTTTAATTGTCGGAAATAATTTCAATACATAAAAAATAGTTTCAGTATATATAGAATACAGATATTTTTTATTTCAATTGTCGGAATTCATACACTATCATTATAGAAACTAGAGGCCCTCAAGAGCCTGTGTCGCTCACCTGACTATACTTTGGATTTAGAAATCATGTAAAGATAGATAAAAATCATAACGGTACCCAAATAATGATTGAGGCCAAATTTGGTTTAATATTGGTCCCGTTATTTAATAAAATATCCTGGTGGCCATCTTGAACAGTAAATCGGCAACAAAGTAGCAGCACTTGGTCAGCACCTCATAAGGAACATTCATGCCATGTTTGGTTTCATTCCGTTCAGTGGTACTCTAAAAGAAGACATTTGTATGTATTTCCCATAGGATCCTATGTTAAACTAAGTCCCCCGCTGGCGGCCATCTTGGATGATGGATCGGCTGCAAAGAAACAACACTTGGTCAACACCTCATAAGGAACATTCATGCCATGATTGGTTCCATTCCATTCAGTGGTTCTCTAAAAGAAGACATTTGTATGTATTTCCCATAGGGTCCTATGTTAAACTAAGTCCCCTGCTGGCGGCCATCTTGGACGATGGATTGACTGCAAAGTAACAACACTTGATCAACACCTCATAAGGAACATTCATGCCATGTTTGGTTCCCTTCCATTCAGCGGTTCTCTAAAAGAAGACATTTGTATTTATTTCCCATGGGATCCTATGTTAAACTAAGTCCCCTGCTGGCGGCCATTTTGGATAATGAACCAACTGCAAAGTAACAACATTGGTCAGCACCTCATAAGGAATATTCATGCCATGTTTGGTTTCATTCCATTCAGTGGTTCTCTAAAAGAAGACATTTGTATGTATTTCCTATAGGGTCCTATGTTAAACTAAGTCCCCCGCTGGCGGCCATTTTGGATGATGGACCGACTGCAAAGTAACAACACTTGGTCAGCACTTCATAAGGAACATTCATGCCATGTTTGGTTTCATTCCATTCACTGGTTCTTTAAAAGAAGACATTTGTATGTATTTCCCATAGGGTCCTATGTTAAACTAAGTCCCCCGCTGGCGGCCATCTTGGATGATGGATCGGCTACAAAGTAACAACACTTGGTCAGCACCTCATAAGGAACATTCATGTCATGTTTGGTTTCATTCCATTCAGTGGTTGTCTAAAAGATGTTCAAAATGTAAAAAGTTAACGACGACGACGACGACGGACGACGGACGCTAAGTGATGGGAAAAGCTCACTGGGCCCTTTGGGCCAGGTGAGCTAAAACGATAAACTTTAAGTTTTTTATTCAATTGTCGGAATTCAAACAGTATAAAAAAAGATATAAAATTGTTCAATCATTTAAACACGAAAAATTTCGGTATTGAAAAATCCTCATTAACATATTATGGAGTTTGATATAAAACGAATATTGGTGCAACCTTCATATAGAAATTTCTTTATCATATCGCATTTTTCAAATATAGAAATTAAAATCACTTATTTTTCACTTCAGTTGGAAAACGAAATATGTCTGGATGGAGAGGTATTTGCTAGAAAATTTCCCTTATTTATTTCGTTTCTTCAGGTGGTGGTATTTGCATGCTTTTTTTCCTATTAATAGTCCTTATTCATCATATTAGATCCTCGTATTTTTGCTATTGTTCTCTGATTAAATTTTACAATTTGTTTGTACTGTATATTTATATATACTTAAGTAATATTCGCACTTCTGTAATCCAAATCTTAATTTCATAACAATTCTATTATTAATTTCGGATTTACAGACTTATAAATTAATACACATTGTAGAAGTACACTGGCGCGGGGAATATTCTTACATTTTATTGTTTATTACGATTTATTAATACTGAAAAAAATAGAAATGCGTAATCATATCTTCGGAAAAAAGACGGAATAACGCGGACATCTTTGATTTTCAATTGATAATCAAATATATTTTCAAAATTGACAAGATTTTTAAATGATTTTTATTTTTCATATACATTTTTTGTTTCAAATAACCTTTGATGCAAAAATTTGAAAAATCATTTTAAGGTAAATTCGTATCTTATAGCAACAGCAATGCTTAGTACTAATTTTCTTATTAGTTTATTATTTGATAATATCGATATAGTTTAAAACTTAGGATTTTGATATCATAAAAAAAGAAAAAAAATCGGAAAGGAAAAAAAAAAAAAAAAAAAAGTTCCGGAAAATTTATCATACCTCTTTTCGGAATACACATACATGTATGGCGCATCATATTCCCGATACCCTGTAGTTTTAGAATTAAAAACTGGTCAAAGATATAAGGGGGTGCCAATGTGAAATCAAAGCACATTAGTTGAAGAAATACAATAAAGCCATGTTCATTGCGTTTTTATAGAGACTCAGTATATCTTAACACGGACAAATTTTGTAATACGTTTAAATGGCCCACTTATTAGTTACTGTAATAGTTTTTATTTTCTTTTTTATTCAAAAAAAAAGGTCAATTTCAATTACGAACAGTGATTATGAATAATATTAAATCCAAAAACAGGGTGTTAGTTATAAACTTTTAACTACTTAAGAAGAATAAGTACGGGGATTATTAGATTTTAATAAATCTTGAAGAGATTAACTTGTACTCAATCTTTTTTAACACCTATTTTGAATTAATCTAAGTAGGACATCTTGACTATTCATATAAGCCACGATTTCGCAACACTGACCGAAATCTAACCTATAACAGTTAGTGATAGTGTTACCTGTAATAGTTCAAATCACCCCTTTACACCAGGACACGTTGTTTCAATAATTTTTTCATGATTACATTTTTTCTTTCAAAAAGTTTCTTTTCAATGCTATAAAGTTACCTTTAATTGTTCAAATCACTCCTTTACACCAGGACACGTTGTTATAATAATTTCTATGATCATTACCTTTTTTTTTTCAAAAAATTTCTTTTCAATGTTGATTATAGTGAACTCAGTTATCCAGGATGTGGGTTGGCAGTTCCAGCTTCCACTAGTGACGCTAACAAAATGGCAATAAAAAATATCGCCACATTCTGTATGTGCCTGTCCTAAGTCAGGAGCCTGTACTTCAGTGGTTGTCGTTTGTTGCTTTTTATCATATTTGTATTTCGTTCATTGTTTTTGTTTTATATAAATCAGACCATTAGTATTCTCGTTGGAATTGTTTTACATTTGTCATTTTGGGGTCTTTTATAGATGACTATGTTGTATGGGTTTTGCTCGTTGTTGAAGGCCGTACAGTAACCTATATAGTTGTTAATTACTATTTCATTTGGTCTCTAGTGGAGAGTGGTCTCATTGGCAATTATACTACATCTTCGTATTTTTATGATACAAGATAAAAAAGTACAAGAATGAATTTGATGCAACTTAACTGGACACTGGGCTATATCAAATATAAAATGTCCGTAATTAAAACAAATCAACACATACCATTATTTCATATCGAGATTTGATTATTTATTAATTCAGAATTATGTGGGTATTAAAACGTTTCCTATTATATATTGTGATGTAAATAATTTTACGATTAGGGGATTTTGATGTTTAATATTCGGTTTTTGTTTAGAGGTTTTTAAAAGTAATATGTACGGTCTGTGTTTTGTGATTAGAGAAATTTATGAACTCTTGTGATATGAGACACGTTTACCTTTTTCAAAGATATCAAAAAGTTTTAAAACATGTTTATAAGTATCTGGATGGGGGAAAGGGGAGGGGGTCTTCATTTGATTTGATTTGATTTCTATTCTCTTCTTTATTTTTTAGGCCATTTTTCTCTATTCTTCTTTTGTTTTGCCCATTTTTCTCTATTCTTCATGTTCTAGCACCATATTTTCTCTATTCTGTATTTTTCTTGCCCATTTTATATTCATATAATTTCTGTACTCTTGGCCCATTATTTGCTGTTCTGTAAACCCTATCCAGAATCTCATATACCCACTTTTTGTGCCCTTTTCCCAATTCTAATCAGTCTTAACATTGTAATTATCAACAGAATCCATGGTTTTGTCCTTCCATGGCTGGATTTTATACTACTATGTATCTTGTAACCAATTATTATTCAAAAATATTAAAGGTAATAAGATGGTTTGGGATTTGATTGATTGATATTTTGGTTTAAACGCCACTTTCAACCCTATTGGCTTTTTCGTGGCTACATGTACCAGTTTTTATTGGTGGAGGAAGATAAGGTACACATTTGGTAGGAAAACTGAGAATCTTAACAATTAAGATTGGAGTCGAACACACCTGCCACATGCGGGATTCGAACTCACAATCACAGTTTTGACAGGCTAGTAATAGTGTAGTTAAACTGCCTAGACCACTCAGCCACCGAGGCCTTGCAAGAACATGACTAAAAATATTTACAGTAGGGCAATGTTGTATACCATGATATACCTATAACTGATAAAAGAACCTCATCAAAGATAACAGGCCTAAAACTTTTTACGCAAGACGCACCATTCGTCTACATAAAACCTCTCATTGGCGCTTGAATGAAAATCAATTGGAAACCAAGATCCATTACGAAGTTTAAGAAAATTCAAAGTACAATTGGAAGTCATTGGCTATTATGCAAAATCCTTTAATTTCACCGAGTAAATCGTTTGTAAAAATGATTTTTTTTGAACAATTACAATATATTAAAAGCACCAAGTCCAACATGTTTAGATTTATTCTCGTTTAAATAGGTGTTTCTTTCAAGATTGTATACATAATTTTAAGTATGCAAAATGATATTTTTGTTATATGCTATATAGGTTGATATTCAGATATTCCATCTCTGTTTTTAGAACGATGTAGATTTAATGGAGATAAACTTTTCTGGTAACAGTTTGACATCTAGGGATATCCAATACATCTCCGAAATACTCAGGACAAATAAAACAATATCTACATTGGTAAGTTATTATATGTTAAATCTAAGCCTGGTTCATCGAACGCAATTTTTATTTCAGAGCACATGACGTCGGTTTTTAAGGGAGTTGCATTTAAAACACGTTTCAGTGTTACCTACCTTTTGATCTCCGCCATACTACATTTATTGCTATACTCGCCCAAATTCTTGCAAGCAATGAATGATTTTATATGTGATACTGTGTAACAGAGAGACTATTTCGTTCTATGTTACATAACGCTTTAGCATAGCAATACAAATATTAACAGTAGGAGAGGAATGAAATGTGAGGTGGGGGCAAACTTCTTTTAGTGAGAAAAAAAAAAAAAAGAAAAAGAAAAAGAAATGATGTTTTGTTTGGGATCTGATGAAAATGTTGACTTTGAAAGTGTATTACAAATTTATGGTGAAATAGGATTGCAACGAGGTTGATTACGCTTTGAAAATTCGTAGCATCTACGTATATCAAATCATGCTTTTTTTTTAACTAGGTAAAGGTAGAGTTTGTCACACATAAGAGTCGCTTTCCTTTGCAAAAAAAAAAAAAAAAAAAAAAAAAAAAAAAATTTAATTTGGAAACACAGAAGGTAATTGGGAGCACATATTATTGTAACGCAGGGAATGATGATGAATTCTAAATTGTAAATGATTTGTTTTTTCTCCAGACATTAAGACGATGTGGATTAAGTGGTGCACCAATAAGAACCCTGGCAGAATTCCTCAGCAAAAGTAATACATTACGAAAATTAGATATTAGCGGTACGTATACGTAAAACTTGATATTCAAAAGGAGGGGATAAACGAAGATAATATTTTCCGCAATATTAAATCATACAAATTTTTCAATTAAAGAAACAAGTATAGAACAATTTAATAAAAGCACCTCAATGGACTCTTGAATATACAAGTATAGTTGCTACAAAGGACAACTATGTTTTATTTTTAATGATAAAATAAATATGTTATTTGCCCAATACGAAAAGAAACGCTATCTTAATGATTAAAACTAAATATTACTTTTTATTGTAAACTTATAATTGTAAGATCAAAACAAACTGAAATCGTTTGTTTACATTTGGTAAAATTAATATAAAAAAGGGAAACAAGGCAGATTAACATTAAATACAGTTCCGATAATGTCTAAATATAGACATAAAAAAGTTGAAGACAAACTGACAATGATATGGTAAAAAACGAAATTGACAGACAACATAACACAAAAAAAAAAGAAAACAGAAGACTGAGCAAAACGAAGCCCACGGATCTCAGGTGCTTAGGAAAGGTAAGCAGATCCCGTTCCACATGTGGCACCAGTCAGGAGTTAGAAAATTGGAAAGCAAAATTTCGTTTTCATGAATCATGATCAGTGAATAAATCTTTGCTTAAAACATAGCAACGAATTGATCCACCACAAATGGTATACAGAACTAGTTTGCAAGAACATTGCAGATAAATTTATACATTCTGTTTATCATATTAAATTTGATAATAATTCCTTTCTAAACATTAACACTTTATCGTAAATTATCCTTGCTCAGTCTTTTTATTTCTATGTTGTGTTTTGTGTACTTTTTGTCTTCTAGTCGTTTTTGTATTTGCCATGACATCGTCGTTTTGTTCCCAACTTATATGATAGATATAAGAAGATGTGGTATGAGTGCCAATGAGACAACTCTCCATCCAAGTCAAAATTTATAAAAGTAAACCATTATAGGTCAAAGTACGGTCTTCAACACGGAGCCTTGGCTCACATCGAACAGCAAGCTATAAAGGGCCCCAAAATTACTAGTGTAAAGCCATTCAAACGGGAAAACCAACGGTCTAATCTATATAAAAAACAAGAATTGAGAAACACTTATGAACCACATCAACAAACGACAACTACTGAACATCAGATTCCTGAGTTTGAGTATCCCTTTGATATCTTTGGCCTCTGTTTCTTACCATTTACAAGGGTGGCATTAACCTCTCTCAGCGTAGATTACCTCGACCAACGAACTATACCTCTTCTTGAGTATACCATTATTTATACTAGTACTAGTGCATTCGTGTCTATTTCAATCGAATCTTATAAAATCTAACACCTATGGTGTAAGAATCGTAACTCTAGAGAAAAAAGAAAAAAAAAGCTTTTAAAAATGAATATTTCAATTTCTGTGTTTGCCCTAAATACACATCTAGATTTTTAAAGAATAATTTTTAAGTTAAATAAATTGCAATTCATTAATGCTTGCGTTATTATGCATTTAATGAACCATTTTCTACACGAGGAAATGCTAGTACAAAGTCAGGTATATGACAGATGTTTTCCTTTCGTTTGATGTGTTTGTGCTTTTGATTTTGCCATTTGATAAAGGACTTTCCGTTTTGAATTTTCCTTGGGGTTCTCTATTTTTTATTTATTTTACTTTTTATTCGATTAGAGTGTTTATTGGCATTTAAATGAATTTGATGCTGTATCTTCCAAGTGTAAAATATCGAACTGAGGAAATAGACCAGAAAAAGTCGACCACAAACATTGTGTGTGACAACGCTATATAATTGTAAAATCCAATCTTTTGGATTATCTTAACTTTTGTGACAGGTTAGAAAGAAATAAAAATATCGAATATATAAAAAAAGTGGTCATAATAATTGAGATGGAGTATATATATGTAAAAGACAATTTAGGTATATATCATACACGAATTAGAGTTTCCCTTAACATGTGTATACCACACCAATATAGAAAACAGGTACATGCATATAGGGATTTCATTTTATTTTAAATATTTACCGGATTTTTGCAACACAAAACATTTCTTACATTGTAGATAATCATTTTGACGACAAAGATGCTCCACACGTGGCAATGATTATCGAGGTATTTCTTTTTATGTTAATTGATTTAAAATTTTAGAACATGTTTTACACCGTTTGCACACAATTTTTAGTTCAACTAATATCCTTTTTTGAAATCAAAAATGCATGTGCATCACACAAACAGAACATTACGCTTGTCGTGATAAAGGGAAGCAATATCCAAGATATTTTGAGGTATTACTTATATCATGTTTATAATGTAAGGTAAGCCAAAAAATAAAAAAAAACATGAATCTTTTGATGGTAAGAAGAGAGAAGTAAGAAAATACAATCCTTAAAGATATCATACTTTCTATGTATGCTGCTACCTGCGTCATAATTATGATTATATACATTAAGTTTACAACACACAAAATACCGATGTTTCATCATCATTCGATGGCATATTGTAACAAAAATCTAAAACAAATCGCCCTCTCACATTCTCTCTATAATTGTATGTTTAAATGTTAAAACTCTACGACAGAGATGTTCTATCGAATAGATAATGTAGGCTTATTCAGAACTAATACCAACTAATTGACATACTCCGTCTGAAATTTAGCCCAACAAAGCAATTTATTCAAATTTGCGGTCGAAAATGTTATTCTTTCCTGAGCGGGATAATGAGGGCCCATGCATCTGTTACATCGTGTCAACTTCACCTGTACTATGTCCAGCGTGACCTTTACCACTCGACCACATATGCTATACAAGGTAATATGCAAATTTGTGTGTAAATAATTAAAAGAAGAAGTAGAGTAATGATTTTCTTTTTTTCAGCATAATGAAAGCATAAGTAATTTGGATTTGTCAAAGAATAAGCTAGGAGATAGTGGCATTTTGATTGGGAATGCTTTGAGTAAGTTTTATTTTTGCTTTTCTAAATGTTAACGAACGACATAAAGACAGCTTAAGGATGTTCGCTTCTCGTGTTTTTGAATTTTTGTCAGATATTCGGAATCCTCTGGTTTTATCCATGTAGTGCCATTAAAAATTTTGCCCACTAAGCCCTACTTTTCTTTTCATAATTTTATAACATATAGTTTAAAAAGCCATATTTGAAAATCTTGATTACTTGAAAGTTCAGGATTCATACATACCGTAACAGTAAAAATATCAAAATATGATGCAGATGAAATGAGTATTGCAATGATCATGAATGCTTTACATTTAGCAATTTTAAGTTGATATAATCTGAATTTATTTTTTTTTAATGTTTTCTGGACTTCCCCCTTTTTGAACTTAGCTTCAAGTTTGGTATTTTTGTTCATACGTTTATTTACTTTTTAACTTAAAGCTATCTAAAACTTTTTGTTTGACTTAAAGCTAGTTTAGAAAAATATATTATGTTTGTTTATTTGATACATTTGCTAAACCAATGAATAAAACAAAACATTTTATGAGCTCATTGACATACATTTATTTCCAAATATTCTCTCAATGTAATTACTCGTTCTTTAAATTTTAGAGGAAAACGAAATGATCACTACCCTTGACCTTAGTTGGAATCACCTTCGTGGTAATGGTGCCATCGGTATAGCGAGAGGTTTAGAGGTAAATACTTATTTATGCCATAGGATACCATTTCCCTGTCGACGTAGCTGGTCTTGCTACTGTTGGAGCTCATGCGCTTCGTTCAGTTTTTGTTTGTTACATTGATTTGTCTCTTCCTAATCGATTTCCGATAATTTCACATAGGTAAACAATTGTCGCCTTAATTAAGTCAATGGTCTTTCATAAAATGGTAAGATTTGTTCATCAAAAGTTAAACATATTTCGTTAATGTGTTTGATATATATTTAAAGGTAAACATGTGTTGTCTGTCCTATAAAAATGGTATGATTTGTTGAGCAACAATTGAAATATTGTTTTTTTGGCAAAAAATGAGTGGTTCAACATACAGTGTTTAAAAAGAGATGTCTCTATTAAATATGTCAAGCTCTCAATGTCTAGAAACTGCAAAAGTTGAGAAGATTTTAAAAGAGATCTGCCGTCAACGTTAACTTGTGCAAATAAAAAAGACATTGAGATTCCAATGTAGAACGAAAAAAAAACAGTGATTAATTTCATTACTGGGGTCAGGCATATACTTATTTGAAGGAGTTGAGGTGAAACATTATTTTTACATTCAATATAATATGTTTTTTGAATAATTCATAGAATCATGATTTCAGAAAAACACAAAATTATTAAATCTTCAAGTGGCATGGAATGGATTTGCCTTTGAAGGTTGTGCAGCATTAGGGCACACATTAGTTCATAACTCAACTCTATCTACTATCGACCTAGCTAACAACAGGATACACAATCCGGCCATGTTTGAACTGCTGAAAGGAGTTTGTGGAAATAAATCTCTTTCGACGATACGGGTGAGTCAGTTGTCCATCTTTTTCAAATAAAAATCTGGTACTTTTTACCTTGTCCTTCACTTTAAATGACAATCAGTGGATAAAATATGCAACTATGAAGCGTACTGAATGTAAAAATATCAAGCAGACTTGAACTTACTAGACTTGTATCTTTTTGCATATCTCTTACTTATAAAAATAAAGAGATGAGGTAACATTGCAAATGAGATACCAATCCACCAAAGTCGAAAGAACAAGGATATTAATAACTACAGGTCCGCGTACAGTCATCAAAAACGAATAAAACCCAAAATGTATTTAAAGATATACCACGCTCCGCAATGACAACATTCAAAGCAGTTTAAAAGAAAAAAAAATCCTGTCCTAATTTATACTAAAACAATAAAAAGAAATTATGCCTGACATAACCATAAAGCTTTTTTGTCTAATTTCAGATACTAGTACGTTTAACATTTGGTTTCAATCCAACACGTTTTCAATAAAATAATCATCTTTGTTTTCTTCATGAAACAAGTTATCATTTATGGGATGCTTATTGTGCAACTGTTATTTATAAAAGCATGACAATCAACAATTGAAATCAGCACATGTTTGACAAATGACTTCAAAGGAATTAGAAATATCGACAAAATCGATAAAGAGTTTGTGATGTTTTTTTTTTAAATCATGGTTATGGTCATGTAAGGAAATTGGTATCTTATTATGCCACAAATAAAAAGAATGCCCAACTTGTTGAGCCTTATTTAAACATTTTATTGTTTATCAATGCGTTGTCTTAAGAACTCAATCCACCAAAATATTGGTAATTTAGAAACATAAACAGGCCATACACATTGTGCACTATTATGTATCATTTATGGCTTCATGCCCTTTGTTATTTATAATATTGTCACTGTAATATTTAGTAAACTTAAAATCCACAGCTTGCTCAAAATCCAATCACAGCTCCTATGACAAGCATTATTCTCCAACGGATATCAACATCAAAGGAATGTGGACTGAAGGAATTAGACATGGAGGTATGTTTAAATTTTTGTATTGCGTTCTCATTTATCTATCTCAGCTTTTTTTGGTTTGTATTTCTAAAAGCAATAACTTCATAACTGGAAAAAATAACCGGTAATTTACTCCGGGCAGGAATATGACTAGGACAAACTGCGGTTATTGCATATGCAAAATCCAATGGCTTCGTAACAAATTTGTGATAAGCTCTTTTATGCAATGTAAAAGAGAGGCGAAATAAACAAAGGGACATTCAATCTTATAAGTAGAAAATAATTAAAATGACAACGCCATGATATGTTCTTTTCTCCAAACGTTTGGTAATGAACATACCTGATCGAATTCACTATTATTCCAGAAACACTTGATATTACCACGGAAATTATATAATATTTTGTTTAGATCTAGGCGGCACCATTTGCCTTGTAGCCATTGCTTTGGTATTGTCATGATATGAATGACACATAGTTTGTAAATTCAATTTTTTACAATTTCGTCATTGTGCAACTCCATCAAGTCATTTAAAACGGTTAGGTTCACCTTACAAAAAGAGGCGAAAGATACCGAAGGGACATTCAAACTCATAAGTCGAAAATAAACTGACATCGCTATGGCTAAAATAAAGAAGACAAACAGACAAACAACATTACAAAAACACAACATAGAAAACTAAAGACCTAGCAACATGATCCCCACCAAAATCTGGGGGTGATCGCAGGTGCTCCGAAAGGGTAAGCAGATCCTGCTCCACATGTGGCATAAAAGTTATTTCAGAAACACTTGTTGACTGGAAATATTAACATTCACCATGGACGTCAATTCCCCCAAATTGCATAGACACATTAAAAGCTAAATAACAAACATAGAACAAATTTTCAGATTTCAGGATATCTTTTTTAAGGTAAGTTTAAGTCTAAAAGCTTGTTAAGTGTAAACGCAACATTTTCTCAAACTTGGCGTTATTAACAAAAACAGCGACTAATATAACATGCAGATGATACCTTCAAAACTCGATCAGGATTATTATGATAATATAAATATTAGAGATTATTCGATATAATGTTCCTATTCAACTTGTTTCTCAATTAGAAAGATAACGTATGTAATAATGTTCACGGTGTCACATTGTATAAATCAAGAAACAAGAGCAAATTATAAAACGCCACCAACTCAACGTAAGACACTGCAATATATTTAACAATTAAATAGATCTACAACTTCACATCTCAATCATAAGTGTCACGATTATGAAGTATTTTTGTTTAATTTAACCAAATTAATACTGTATCGCGCATTGTACAGGCACAAATCTTCCAAATTAAACCTGAGGTCAATACAAGAATAACAGTATATGTACTAATACATTTGCAAGATACCAAATCTTAACGTGCAATATGAACGAATTTGCTATATTTACATTTATATTGGTCCGACAATGACATGTATATTAGATATAGGTAACTTTTACAAATTATGTGACATATTTTCCTCAAGTATCTATCATATGATGTTTTGATTATTTTCAGGGTATTGTTGTAGATAAGGAGTTTGATCCATTGCTGGAAACTATACAAGACGAAAGACTTTTTATGGCTAGATATGATATTTCACTTCCGGTGAGGAAGGGCGTGGTCTCTAACATTGACTCAAAAAATGTGTTTAACATTGATCCTATCAGAATTTTATATTTCATGAAGGAACACATGAGGACGATTGACATGTTTTTAAAATTTGACAAAGACAACAGTAATTCACTTTCAAGAGAGGAGCTACATTTTGCCTTTGAAGTAAGTTTGCCATGACATCAGTAGAGCTGTATTTAAACCGAGTATAATTGACCCATTTAAATCAAATGTGAACCTGTGATCTCGATACATAAATCCCCATATATTCAGATAATCGTCCATGAATCTGTAGCTTAGGTATTTACCTATTCTGAAGTGGATTTTATTAAACATTTGTCTTAGTAGCTTTCGTTAGTACACTCCTTGAGATTAAAAGGTTAGGCAATTGAGCTGTCAACACACGTATTTAACTCTCAACATGTTATTGTGCCTCGGTAAAATTTGGCATTGGGTGTGTTAAGTTTTACCTCAGTTGATTCAGCTCTTTGAAAAATGCTTATGATTGAATTTCTTTTTAGTCTCTGTTAAACTAATTCCCCAAATGACTAGACCATGAGAGACTTGAGGCTTGACCTATAGTATGTTACTTTCATAAAGCTAAAGCTTGATGTTGATTCTCTAGACAAATGTTGTTAAAACGCAATTTTCGCTTAAATCTTTTTTTAAATATACAGACAAGTTCAGACTATCAGCAATCAAAGTATTGCTGGCTATCTGTAGAAATTAATACGTGCATTTATCATTAGGAATCACTGATTACTGGTAAAAATACGCAATCTAACTAACGCGATTGAAAACAATTTGAGAAGAATATGATTACTGAAAATATAAATGCAAGTTTTCATTACTGCGAAATGATCCTGTTTTATTTTTCGTATTAATAAACACATCACAATAATTTCTGAATTTACAGTAAATGGAACAGACATACACTTATGTTCGGTTTTATAAAGTGTTACAGTGATTGTTCAAATTGTATTTTAGAGAGAAGGTTATCCAATCAGTACTAGCGCTTTAGATACAGTTATGGGTTATCTAGATACTAATAGAGATGGTGACGTAGACCTTATGTAAGTACTTTTTAAAATGAATACTAAGTACTATAAAACAAAGGCAACATGTTAAATCAATTAAGTAGCCAATAAAATAAAAAAATAAAAATAAATAAATCAGAAAGGACAACCTATACCATATCTAAAAAACAAATCTGAATCACAACACGTTTAGAAATACACTCAGTTCACAACTCCCACCCATAAAAACGAAAAAAGAAAAAAGAAACCGCTTAAAAAAAAGAAGAAAAAGAACACAAAAAACCTCAAAAGCTACTAAAACAACAATGTACAAAATCATAACCAGATTGTTTTCTACGCCATTTTTCTCTTTAATTTAAAAGGGTGTTCACTGATTTATATCTGTTTATCACAAATGTATCAAGAAACTTATAATTTTCGTTTCGAATTGGCAGTGATTAGATCTAATCTAGTGTAATAGATTTCGTACATTTTGGTTTAATGTTTTCTTTCTTTTGGAGTATATTCGACAGGGAAATTTCTTTGTAGAACAAGGATAGTCCGGGACGTGGCACTTTAATCGTTTAAATGTGTACAGTTATTTTTAATGTTTTAATGGCATTTTTTTAAACAATTTACATTTTTTATACTCAAGGGAAGTTTATATATTTAACTGTAACAGTCAACAGTTGGAAAACAAAAATGAAAATGAGTTTAACTTAACAGACATCAATTAAGGGGTTTCCCGACTTTTGAAGCATACTATCGCCGATATTATTGCATATGATAAGGATACAAATCATTATAAAGTGTTTACAAAAAGAGACGAACGATTCCAAGAGTCAATAAAAACTCATAAATCAAAGAAAAAAGAACCGCGCCATGGCAAAAAACGAATAATGACGAAAAGAAAAAATCTTCAAAACACTACACTTGAGATTAAGAAAGAGCAATACGCACACATCAATATCCGGGTATCTCAGGTGCTCCAGAAGAATGAGCAGAACATCTATGTAATCTCCATTTTGAAATACATTTTTGTAAATAGTGTTTTTTTTTTATTTTTATTTATCAATTACTTTACCATATTGGATTATTTTTGCCATGCAGTCGGACAAAAATTGAAAGTGAGAGAAAACGTATAGAAAATATTATATCCAAGAAAAGATCAGGGTAACAATAGCGCTTATGACAATACAATGCTTATAATATATGCTTTGATTCCTAGTGTTGAATAGATAGATTGCTATTATTATCATAATTCATACGAATATTTATACATATCTTTTGCTTTGTCTATCGCTATTTTGCATGACAGATACTGTAGATACTTATTATTATTAAAAAAAACGGAAAATTAAATCATATATTCTAGAAGTGCGTATTGTCTATGAACTCTTACAGATCTTCCCACTTAATTTAGAGTCTGTTTGCATAGATTGAATCACATGTTTGATAAATAAATATATATATATTATAATATGTGCTATATAGTTTAAACATGTTAAATGTGTTTCACTTGTTTTGAATAGATTTACTGTTTTTGAAGTTAAGTTACTACTACCTTTTGTAAAGTTTAATTATTTCAATTGCTTTATTGGTTGTTGATGATCTATATGTTATCATGTTGCCTCGCCATTTCGATATATTAATTGATTTAACATTTCTTCCAATAGGGAAATTTTGCATAATATTTCTTGTAGACAGCAATCCTCTGACGCACTTTTAGCAGTTATTGTTATTACTTTTATTCATATGTTTAAACTTGAAGCTTCATCGTTGAAATTGTGGAATGATATTTTAGATACTCGAGGGTATATGCCAAAATCCCTAAAGAAATCTAAATCGTGAACATTTTTCAACTTAATAAACATTTTACGACACGTTTGTGATTAAAACTGCAAAAAGTTGTTTGTATTGACAAAACACTTCTAGTAATTACTGATAAAACTAAAATTGAGAATGGAAATGAAAAATATGCCAAAGAGTCAACAACCCGACCAAAGAGCAGAAAACAGCCGAAGGCCAACAATTGGTCTTCAACACAGCGAGATAATCCCGCACCCGGAGGCGGGCTACAGCTGGCCCCTATTCAAAAATGTGTACTAGTTCAGTGAAAATGGACGTCATACTAAACCCCAAAATAATATAAATGAACTAGAATTAAGAAAAACATACAAGACGAACAAAGGCAAGAGGCTCCTGACTTGGGACAGGCGGGGTTAAACATGTTTTGTGAGATCTCAACCCTCCCCCTATACCTCTAGCCAATGTAGAATAAACAAGCACATAACAATACTCACAGTAAAACTAAGTTTAAAAGAAGTCTGAGTCCGATGTCAAAATAGGTAACAAAAGAAACTAAGCAAAATGACAATGATACATAAACTAACAAAGGACTACTAGCAGTTACTGACATGCCAGCTGAAGACTTCAATTAAACTGATTGAAAGATTATGTCTTTATCATATGAAAATCAAGCACAATTCCTCCCGTCAGGGGTTTAGTATCATACCGTCATAAAATATATGAGAAGAACATAAACCGTATCATGCCAACAACTGGTTTTAGAACAAATGTGTTTATTTCCGATGCAAAGACCCTATGAGTGAATCAATATTAAACCAAAATATGCCATCTTCAATGACCTGACGACAGTATCGTAACTATATCCTTCTGAATAAGTCTGTTTAAAGGATTGGTTAGCTTTTGAGGTGAATGCCGACATTTTTTGTGCTTTGTAAAGAATAATACCATAAAAGATTGGATGTGAAATACCTGAACGTATAAGTTGTCTGCATGTTGATTTATATTTACGAATAATGTCCTTGTACAGATGATAACATTTCGTTAATGTCGACTAGTTTGTGATATCGAAAATCCTGGTGTAATAATTTGTCAGTAATACAGAGATTTCTTTCGTTAAAATCAAATACTTTGTTACATACACGAGCGAACCGAACAAGTTGAAATATATAAACACCATAAGATGGTGACAAGGGAACGTCACCACCTAAAAATGGATAATTTTCAATAAGAAATGAAGAATTATCTCTTTTATCATAAATTTTGGTACTAAGCTTCCCGTTAGTTAGGTATTAGTATTAGTTGTTAGTATTAGCTTTACTTAAAGTCAGTTCAGCAGGATAAATCTCTTTAGTGTACATACTAGAATATTTAATCATGGGTTTATTCTTTAATATATATATTTACTATTTCAATATTTCATCTAAATCATTTAAATCCACAGGGAACTTATAGATGGCGAGAGAAGATTAAAAAGACACCTAATTGCAGAAGCTGAAGAAGCAAGACAACATTCTTCGAAATTAACTCCGTCGCCTTCGGAAAAGAGAGAATACTCAAAATCTTACCTGAAACCAAGTGAAGCATTAGCATTAAAACAAAATAGCGATCTAGTGTCACCAAGGAAAAAGGACATTAAATCACCGAGACAAAGTGACATGAAATCTTCACGAAAATTACCACAGATACATACAAACTAATTATATAGGATGTGTCTAATTGTTTTTTAAATCAGCATATGTCATATAAAGTCAGACTATGGTAATATTAACGTTCACACAATAAAAATTTTGTCATTCAGGGAACTTATCTGATCTAATCGGTGCTAGGATTCGTTATGAATAAAAGCTAAAAATATCCCTGAAGGAGAGAAAGGATGACATGTATAATAAAATTGTCTTTTAGTCCCTTGAATTCAAATACTGTAAACAAACTTATTTTCTCGGATACTTCATTTAGCATTTAGTCCATTCTTGTCCACTACGTGGCGATTTAATTTCGCGATTTTCAAATTACTTGATGTAGTTAATTCAGGAAAGATCTTAGTTTGAAATTTTCACGGTGACTAATATTCGCATTATTTTTCTACTCGCGAAAGTTGCGGAAATAGATCGCTGGCAAAAATTAGTTGGTTTACAGTATTATCAAAGGAAGAGAACATAACAATCAGAAGTCAGATTAATTAATTTTAGACAAACCATATTAACAGTAAAAATTTGATGAAATCAGTTTCGCAAATTTGATTCATTATTTTATTCTATTTGTAAATTTAGTGTGAGAAAGGAACGGTCAATGATAAAACTAAACTAAATAAGGTTCTATACAGATAACAGTCTATATGCTACTCTATATACCCAATTTAACAAGGCGGACCTACAAATGTATAAGACAAGTAAACATGCAAATTTGAATTGATGAATTCCAACCGTGTCGAGATTAAAAACTGAACAAATGCATCTAGACTTACTTTTAGAATGATTTTATTTAATTTCCTAGCGGAAAATGTCAGCAGAAATGTCCATTTGAATCCGATGCTATTTAAACGACAACTTACGATGCAATTGTAATTGTCACGTGACGCAAGTGCACCCCATTCTGTATTAAAATGAGAACATGACTTTGTTTTCTACGCGGTACAGGAGTGTCATATTAGAATACAGAATTATCAATGGAAGGGAATATGGGTAATATGCCAATAAGACCAGAACTTAAAAAAACCCAAACAAGTGAGACGCATAAAGGTAAAATTATCGAAATTGTTTAGAGTAATATTACATAAGTATGGAGATATTGTCATTACTACGTATATTTTCAAATATGCAGTTCTTGTTTCGTCAAATTTATTTTATTTCATATTGTATATAATTGCAAATAGCTGTCATGATTCATAAGTCGTTATGGTTTACGAGACTAAACTTATTATATCGAGCATTGATATTTTCGGAAATTAAAAGTGTTATTAGCTTAGCAACAATAGCAGAAACAATAAGAAAAATCGTTTAAGAGATCAAATTGATGATCTACTAAGCAAAACATTATACAAATTGATATTTGGTATCTTTCCTTCTTGATTCTTGGTTGATTGTTTGTGTTTAACGCCACTTTCAGCACTATTGGCTATTTCATGGCCGTATGTTGTGATTGATGGAGGAAGCCGGAGTGCACAGAGAAAAGCACCGATCTTTGACCGGGAAACTTTCAATCCTAGTCAATTAAGATCCACTTCTTGAAAGGGACCCAAAATTTGCCTAGTGTCCCTTTTTAAAATATTTAACATCTGATGCGATCATTTGTAATGTCAATATTCCTCCATAACGATGTATTTGACAGTCATAATTGTCTTCTTTTACCTTTTTTACTTGGAATCGTTTAGGATGACGTTGGTTATCTAACAAGCTGTTGCAACTTTTATTTAGAAAATAAAACACCAGCAACAAACTTAAGGAAATGCGTTTACCAGAATGTTTTTTTTAGCGGGAAACAATTATTAAGATGTTATTATATTGAGTCTTTTTTTTATCAATTTTGATGCTAATTCTGTTCTTTGGGCACCTTTTTAAAATAATAATCTAAAGAAAAATCAGCTAAATTTGAAAATTTGGAAGCCCACCTCTGACTCCAATTGCTAGTAGAAAGAAAGTAAAAGTATATAACTGTGATTAGAAAAAAAAAAGAAGTACAAATCGACGGAGTGTAAATCATGTTGTTTGAATAAAAGCCAGGAAGGATAGTACACTACTTAATTTCAATTTAAAGTTATATCATTGTTTTGGAGTAATGTTAGTGTATTATGTGTATTGACAATTTATATTGTAGAAAGAACTAACATAATTATAACACTACGTAAAAATTTCGTATTGTAAAGAACCTAAAGGACTCTGGGTAATTGCTTTGTTTGTACCTCACTATTGCTTGAATGTCTATTGTTTAGGACGTTTTAAAACCATTCACAAAACTTTGGTGTTAGCTCTTTAAAAGATATACGGACTGTAATATGTTTTGTTGTTCGGTTACTTTGTTTTGGCGTCGATGACGGATATTTGGTATACTGTGAAAGGGATTGTAGCGATTCATGCATATTGTCAAAAAAAATGTTGTTTTGGATTGGCCGCCGAGGCGTTTGATTCTGTGTAAAAACAATTGTAACTTCGTTTTTTCTACGTATTGTCACTAACGGATTCTCTACCATGTAATATTATTGGGGTTTGGGAACTGTATGAGGTCTTATGTAATCTCTCTTTCAATATATTTTGCTAGGAACAACATCTGTTTTTTCCCACCACATGGACACAAACATAACATTATATAAAGTCAAACAATGACGGAACAGACATGTTCAATTTCCGTATAGCAATCGCATATATACAACAGGGAATTCAATTGCTGTTCGTTCGGGAGACTTTCGTAACAGAATCCTTTTACAATGATATCTTGTTATATATGCATATATATAAATAGATTAGGATTAACATGGAATCGGAATCGAATATTTTATAAAATAAGAGCTGATAAAAGTAATCAATGGCGACAAATGTCTTTGTATATCATTTAGATTACTGCTTATTTAAAGGGCTTTACTAGCGGAAGTTAAAATCTGCTAAATTCATATCGAATCGCCAAACTTTTAAATTTTCATCAGAGCTGTGCTGTATTTTGATTAATAGATCAACACTTTATCACGAATACAATGCCTAGTGGAAAACACGAATAACTGCTTTTCTATTGACATTTATTAACTTTCGCGCCGTAGAAGCCATAAAACGAAGATCTTCTTCTGCAACGATGCGAAAAGTTTATCTTAATAAGTAAATAATTAAGGTATAATTTGTTTTGTATATTAATTTCTGACTTTGATATTGTTATCGATATATCATTGCAATTAAAGCTGCAATATCAGTCAATTCTTATTACTAACATTGTAAAAATGTTATATTTTTCCATATATAAACATGTTAAACCGTAAGAAAATTATTCCATATGTGTGGTGCAACGTGAAATCTAGGACTTATGAGTAACTGCCTGAGTAAGAACTATATAATAGTATCTGTATGAGAGTCGCTTCTTTGAACACAAATGACTACAGAGACTACATTTGGAAATATTTATACATTATCTTTGTTTCTGAAAACTAGATCGAGTTTTACGGCTACAGTATCATCGAAAGCGATAGCCCTGAGATGAAATGTATCCGAGGAATACCGTGACCTGAAAAGCCATAGATATGGCATTCAACAAAGAGCAAAGTCCATACCGCATAATCAGTTATAAAAGGCCCCGAAATGACAAATGTAAAACAATTCAAACGAGAAAACTAACGGCCTAATTTATGTACAAAATAATGAACGAAAAACAAATATGATACACAGAAACAAACGGCAACTACTGAATTAAGGGCGCCTGGCTTGGGACAGGCACATACAGAATGTGGCGGGGTTTAACATGTTAGCAGGCACCCAACCCTCCCCCTAACGTGGGACATTGGTGTAACAGTACAACATAAGAACAAACTATAAAAATCAGTTGAAAAAGGCTTAACTCATCAGATGGATACAAATAGTAATACATCTAACAAAAACACAGAGTGGACGTGGGAGGGTACTTATGCATCCTCACAACAAAAAGACACCAAGTATACTCTGTTTATAGCTATTTTCCTAGACAACGTGAAAGAGACACTGGATAATGACGTCTTCGTATTCTTACTCTACTCAATCAGTCGATTAAATTGAGATCAAACAAAAATTTATGAAAACATCCATCAATAATTATATACTAGTAGGTAAAATAAGAGATGCAAAAGGATACAGCTACCCTATAATACAAAAACATGTAAAAGATACCAAAGGCCAAAACAATAGAAAGTATTTAGAGCAGTCTAACCTATAAACAAAGTGCTATTTCTATGTATATTTCCAAATATGTATTTGCTCAAGCTTTTCTATTGAAAACAATACGTTCAGTTCAAAAAATAGAGCAGACGATCTACAATGTTCTGTTATGTGACCATACACCGTAACAAATCACAATACTAACATAAAACTTATTATGATAGAACATGTATCGCAATTTTTGTCTGATATCAAAGTTCGATTAGTTCAAGAAAAAAAGAACTAGAAATCATAATATGTATCGTAACATAAACTATTAGAACAGAAACTTGATATCACAACTTTCATCATCGTTGACCACAAGGAAAATTTTACTCACGATACTCTCAAGCATTGTTGAATGAATCCACTATTTTATGCAGATTTCGAACCTAGTTAAATGTAATAATATCTCTACAAAGATGAAACTGACAGTCAATATTTTATTTGTTATCCTAAACGAGGAAACATAGCAACTGTTCGTAGAAAGTAGTCTGAGTTGTTTTTTGATTCATTTAACCAGGTGTTGCATTTTCCATTACGTAAATCATTTACAACAACAGATATGTGTTTATCAGAATAACAGCAAGCGCCATTGGATCCGCTGGACATTTCTAGTGATGCTATAATAGCTGAAGGCAAAAACAGAGATAGAGAAGACAATAATGCTACCATACCGGCAATAAGAGATGTTTTTACGGTCAAGTAGGATTGACTCCATATTGGGAATAGAATGGCTAGTGCCTTCTGAACACATAGCAGAGTTGTAATCAATATAGATGACATATGGCAAGAATATACAATATTGTCAAATACATTAAATATTACACAAGATGGGTATTTTCTGTTCCAAAGCAGCACAGTTTCATTTAAGTTACTATTCTTAACAGTAGGTTTAACATCGTCGCTGAAAACAAAATATCCACAGAAGTC